AATAATTTAGAAAAAATTAACACTCAACTTTTGTCGAAACAACCTGTTTTACTACCTTTTATAATTATCTCACCTGATCAAGATAAAATGACAAACATACCTAATAAGATAATCATAACTCAACAACAACTTATCTGCCTGAAAAAACCACCAATTCGAACCTTATTCTTCAACCTTTCTAATTCATCAAATGAAATCTGGACCATTTTGATAAATCAAATTGAAACAGCTGACTCAAATACAATATCAAATGTTTCTTTTCTGCAAACCTACTGTCCCCCCTTTCTTCATACATAAATAAACAGATTAGAGTTCCCTATAGTTACTTTATTAATTATTGCCAAAATCTAGCTAAAACAAAAAATATCATACTGGAGTTTTCAAAGGAAAAAAACTCAATTGAATCATCAGCTAATAGTATAATCTCATACTCCCACCTATTAATATTAATAACTATAATTTATCTCTATGTATCAATAGCAAAATAGATACCAGTATTATACATTGGATCAAATTTATTAACAATTCTTGCAATCTAATTGCAGCCACTCTTAGTGCTGACATGTTTTACAAACCTAAAACTATTAATGAACTTAAAATACTCAAATTAGCAAACAAGCAATGCTGGTCTATGACAAACCAAAATTCAGAACTTTAGTAACATTCAGAACAAAATTACTTCATAACTCTTTACCCACAAGATCTAAACTCAACAAATGATATCTATTACTCTACCCAAATATCAAATGTCCTAGATATGAATATCCTACAGAAGATAAAACCCATGTTTTCATATGCAATGAAAACAACGAATATCTGAATCAAAAAGCAAAAAAACTTAGCACTTTTTTTAAAGAATTATTCAACAAACAGACAACAAAAAATTCTTTAACATGCAACCGTAATTATCTCCACAAGTTTAGTAATAGTGTTATATTATTTAAAATAGCATTAGAAGCTTCTAATCAATTCTCTAATTAACTCAACAAACCAAAACACAAAGCACAATTAGTCAACAAATCTCTTAAAATCCTTAACAAAATATGGAAACAGTAATCTGCCACTGCAAATACAGCTCCTCTAAATGGAATTAAATAGAAACCCACCAAGGCAATATCCTTTACCTCCAACAGCTATAATAATAACTACAAAGATTTTCTTCTTGAACTAATAATACAGATGTCAAACCACTATAACAATGCTACTAACTTATCTATTTTTACTCCATCAATAATATCATCATTTTTGAATAAGTATTAGCCATTCGACCATTGCATGATGCACCCAGTCAATGACTGGTAATCTGTCATGGAAAGCAAATTGCAATAGGCTATAGTTAATTTACAATATAAAAACTATTAATATCAAGCTAATGAATTAAATTTCTAATAAAAGCACATATTTAATACTCATTTGTGATAAAAAAAAAAAGTTACTCATATACTGTATATAGATTACTAATATAAGTAGATATATGAGTACTTATTAATATGTATATTGTTTATTTATATACAAAGAGTAATATAAATAATAAAGAAACTAAAAAAACTCTTTCTGCTGATTCAAATTTTTTCAAAAAAATTTTTTTTTTAGTAATTTTCTTGAAAAACTCACAAAAACTCTTCTATACAAAAACAAGCCTCAAAGGACACAACTATTTACTTCTAGGCAACAAAATCTACTTTACAACAACAAGAAAAGAATTTTATTTAGCTTGAAAGACAGATATTCCTTGACCATTTTCACTTTTAGGAGAAGAAAAAGCAAAAACAAGCTGATTCACAGTAGACTTCTTGAGACCCAACCTCAACTTCACAAAGCTCTTAGACAAACCAATACAGGTTAACACCTTTCTAGGCACTAAGAAAAGTCTCAGAAGTAATAGATTACACGATAAATTAGTACAACCTCAAAACTAACTAAAACTTAGAAGGATATCCAAGTCTCTTTGGTCAAATAGCTAAAAGACCACAACAACAAAACAACCCCAGATCAACTAATTTATATCACACGAACATGAATATATTAATCTTCTATTTAGTTGATATATATTTAAGCAAGTTGATCAATCTATAACAAAATAGTAGGATGTAGCAAATCAATAAACTAGAACATGTGTGATTAACCAGCATGTGATATCTAAAACAAGATCAACAGTTGATCACAAACAGTTACGTATTAATAAACAAATACCAGATGTGTAAACACATATAAGCCATGTGTTATAAACTTTCTAATACTAATATAGCAACTTATTGTCATATACATCAAATGGAAAAATAATACACAACAGTATTTATCTGATCACGTAGTTAAAAAGACAAGTATACAATAACAACAACAACAATATGTATTAAAATTTTTGTGTATTACATGACAATATGTCATCTAAAGAATAAACGATAATCAGGATTCTAGAAAAAAAAGAAAAGAAGCTATTGAAAGTATTAGGAAAATAGTATCTTATCAAGATCCTCAGCGAGAACTTTGGAAAACAAGAATGATAAAACATGAGTTGAGACCAACAACAACTAATCAACTCCACATCCCTGCTGAATCAATACATATTTACTTAATACTAGATAGTATTATTACCAATCTATTGAGGATAGATCCATTGGTGATAGCAAAAGAGCGTATATTGTGGCAATATATTCTTACTCTTTGGAAAAAGGGGCAAGATAAAAAGAAAGATTTGGAAGCACCTATTGTTATGGGTCACATGGGTGACGCAATTTACATGTAATGGTCTAAAATCCAAAAATCCAATAGTCTGGCATGAAAGATTGAGTATCACAAGATAAGAAACTATATATAAGGCTTGAGTACTGATAAGGGAACTGTGTGTATTTGAAAAGTATCAAAAGTTTAGCAAAACTTAGGGTTAGTATAGCCAATTATAAAGTAGATAGCTATTGTTAGATAGAAAAGTATAAATAGCTTACCAATGTATGCTGAAAAGGCAAAGCTAAATATGTTAAGAAAAACAGTTCTCATTGAGAATAGAGATAAAAATTAGTAATATACCAAAGAAACAGAATGCAATAAAGAGATACTTACCTTTGGCCAAGTCAATCATCACGCCTCTGTCTTCCCTAAGTGTTTTTTATAGAAAGTATTATCTTCTTTGTATCATTTGTGAGTATTCTTGAGAAGTCTGGGTTATGCGAGACACTACAGATTAGCGACGGACTCACCAGGATAATCTACGACACTATGCTAGAAGAAAAGGGGTATAATATATTAACAAGCAAGTCAGTAATACCAGCATCAAGCTCTAATTAAATTGAAGTTCTAATGATGAAAAGCATTCCACTGGAAGTTCAACCAACTTCTACAGAACTCAAAGAAACACACTCCATTAAGGAAGTCATAATGGAGAATAGAGAAGAGTGGAACAAATAGAAACAGAAGTGTTAAAAGAAACAGTATAGGGAAGCTGTATTATAGTTTTATGGGTCATGTGGGTGACGCAATTTACGCATAATGGTCTAGAATCTAAAAACCTAAAAGTCTGGCATGAAAGATTGATTGTTGCAAAATAAGAAACTATAGATAAGGCTTGAGTACTGATAAGGGAACTATGTGTATCTAAAAAAGTATGGAAAGTTTAGCAAAGCTTAGGGTTAGTATAGCTAATTATAAAGTAGATAGCTCATTGTTAGTTAGAAAAGTATTAATAGCTTATCAATGTATGCTGAAAAGGCAGAGCTGAATGTGTTAGGAAAACAGCGCTCCTTGAGAATAGAAATAAGAATTAGTGAGATACCAAAGAAACAGAATGCAATAAAGAGATACTTACCTTCGGCCAAGTCAATTACCATGCCTCTGCCTTCACTAAGTGTTTTTTATAGAAGGTGTTCTCTTCTTTGTAAGTATTCATAAGACGACTGGGTTATGCGAAGCACTATGGTTTAGCGACAGACTCGCCGGTTAGCCCATGACAATAGATAGCATATCTTATAATACAAGTAATAGAGTTCAAGGAAAAACAGTAAATCTATTCTTCATTAAAAACAAGGATTAATCAAGGTGGGGGTACTTCAAGCATTGTTGTCAGGAAAAAATAAAGAAGAGAAAATTACGTATCTCAAAGAAGCTCTAAAGATACTTAAGTGAATAAATCCCTTCAAAACAGAATTTATCAATAGCAACTATTGGATTACATTTAGCTTTAATAAAGAAGAAGTGCAGCAAGATGTCTTGAGGCTATTAACAAAAAAGAAGGTGAGAACTTTACACTTAGAAAAATGGACAAAGATATAAGCACATGACCAGCCTTCTAAAGATATGCTCAGAACAAAAAATTCTTCAAGCCAGAAAGCTTTCCATCAGCTAAAAATAGATCAAAATATATCACATTGGTAGATACTGATTACAAGCTTGGCAAATGTATGATTAGACAAACAATAGAAGAATTTGAAAAGATTATTAATATACATGAATATAGAATATCTTTCCATCAAAAATGGTTCAAAGTTTACCTTTATGCTTACTGAGAACATATTGATTTAGACAAGAAATAAGTGATCAATATAAAATCCAATCAAGTATAATCTGTTATAGCCCACAAGGAACAAGATGATCAAGAAATTACTCAGATTTTAAAAGAGGAAAGAGATACTTCTTAAGACTTTATGGAGTTGATGAATTATCTACAGAATCTATAGAAGAAGCCTTAAGCCATACGAAGACTAAGGTCTTTTATATATAAAAAAACAAGATCACCTTGGTATTAAAAATAAAAAAGATCTAAAAGAGGCACTCCAGCACCATATCGACAATCAAGGGCTAAAATGGTGTGCAAAGAATCATTATCATCACAAGATGCAACTGATCTGGCTAGGGCAGGCAAAGTACATATAATGATTAAAGAAGCAAGAGAACAAGATTGCAAAAGCCGAAATAGAGTAAGTGAAGATAAAAAAAGTAATAAAGATATTATAGCAACAGAAAAAAAAGCTATATTAGCAGTAAAACCCAGAAAAGGCAATAGTTGGTCATAAAACAGGAGAAGCATAATGAGGTCTACAGTATATCACCAGTAACAGGTAGCAATAGGGAGCCACTAGGGAGGTGAAGACATCAGAAAGTGAATCAAGTCCCACACCAGGCTTTAAAATATTCCTTAAAAACAGATGATGAAACTTTGGATATTAAGTAACATCAAAGACAAACAACAATATGGGAAACAAAAAGCCAAAGATCAACTGTAAAGCAAGAGTCAGAGGTAGGCCAGCTGAGCAAAATATTAGAGAAGCTTAGCAAATGACTAGACAAACTAGAGAAAGGTCCACTCAAAAGGAGGGCCAACTATTCTTAAAAGGCCACACCAGTTCAACCACAGAAAGTGAAGAAATATCAGTCTATCATTTCCAAGTCAAAATTACAAAACAAGGGTAAAGCATGACAAATAAAGAAGAACAATAGTAGGTGGTAGCAAAGTAATCAAAATCTTGATACTTTTCTGCAAATAGAGAAAAATAAAATCCTAGAAAAAAATAAAGAAGACCAACTGATGGAAAAAACAAAAGAGGAAGATATACAGAAAAGGGTAATTAGAATAGAAACACATAATATTAGAGGCATTACTGATAGTACAAACCAGTATAGTCTTATAGAAGAAATACAAGAACAAGGTATTGGAATAATAGGAATATGTGAAACAAAACTAATCAATGTAAAAGCAAAATAGGCCTTCCAGAAGCAAACAACCTTTAAGCATTTTCATAGTACCAATAAAAATACTCCATATAGCACTAGAGTTAGTCTTTTGATAAGAAAAGATCTAGAAATAAAAGTAGCTTCAATAGAAAAGACAAAAGGATACATAATAGAAGTTAATATACTCAAGAAACAGAACAAGATATGTATCATCCAGATCTATATTTCCTTAGATAAACAATGAAGCATAAAGGTACAGAAGAGGGTACAAAGCTTTATTAAAGAAAAAAATAGACAAGACTTTTATATAATAGTAATAGAAGACTTTAATGCAGCATACAACCCTACAAATGACAAGACATCAATATCTAGTGCTAAATTTAAACTATCTTAGCACCTAGAAATACCACTATTCAACTTTTTAGATGAATGGTCCTTTCTAGACATACAGGATATATGGAAAGGAAAAGATAAAACTTCAAAAAGATGGGATGCTACTAGTAGTAGTCAGATTGATTATATATGAATATCTCAAAGTCTTACAAACTATCCAATACTCAGATTTGATAACCAAAGTATGGAAGAAATAACAGGAAGTGATCATACTATACTAGTGCTAACAATACATGACACTAATCTCTTTACAAGAGATATTAAAAGCAAGCCTCTCACAAAGAGTGAACAAAGAATTGATATAAAGGGATCAATATCTGAGCAGTGAAAGGCATTCAATAAAAGCCTGAATCACAAACTCAGAATGACAATGAATCTATTGTTTGAAGAAGAACTAGAGAATAGTGAAAGAGAAGCTTATACAAGAAGATTTGGAAGACTTTTGAAAAACAAATATGTAGGGCAACATATAACAAGCTTATAATCAAGAAGCTATCTGTTTTCCAAGAAAAACATCATAGGCATGAGCCAGAATTTATCAAGTATCGGAGGGCCCTTCAACTATTCACACACTTTAAGAAGGCAAAAAAGTACACACAATCCAATCAAATTGTAGGCCCTTAGCAAGACGATTAAGAAACACAATACTACCTTCAGCCCTAATCATCAGATTGAAAACTATTGTATCCAATATAGCATTTTTTAAATTCTATGGAAACTATTAAAAAAGGATATACAAGATGCAATAGAAGACTTAAAACTCGCTTGTCAGAATACAGAGGCAAAAAAGATAAGGGATGCTATCAAAAGAGCCTTGGAACAAAAATGTAATGATTTACGTAGCAATCAAAGAAGAAGGATAAACTCCTTAACTGACAGAGAGTAAATCAAAATAACTTTGGATAGGATCAAGGTTAAAGATGGAGAAAAGGAATATATAACTACTAAAAAGAGAGAAATTGAAAGAGAAATAAGGAGATATCATCATGCAACATTTAAAAAACGAAATGCCAATTTTGACAGCCTTACAGAAGATTGGAAAGAAAAATACAATCCTAAAGGCTATATTAATAAAAG